AGGCAGAAACCTTGGACAGACCCTTCGGCTCTAGGTGGGTGGTCATCTGTCTCGACTACTTTTCTTTCCGTTCAAAACGTTTTTGTATATATTTCTTTACATGCTGGGAAATCTGCAGCATGGAAAGAAATTCTGCATTAGATGTTTGTACTGTAACCATGGAAACAGACAACGATCTCTGGGAAGGCAAATTCTTTAAAAAAAGTTACAGAGTCTTTTTTATATAATCTCTAATCTCATATCACTGGAAAGAGTGAGTTCTGCTGATTACAGCAGTGTATATATGACATATGCACGCTAATTTGACTGAGTTATGACTGGGACGCAAATTGCATCCGTGGGTACAGTCACATGTTACATGTGACTTGTTCTAGGCAACAAGGATTGGACTTAATGACAAAAGAAACAAACTAAATAATTATTTTTATTTTATTATAATTACAAGAGCACAGCGCTGAGAAAAAAAAACTACATCATAAAATACATTTTTATTCAGATTTTTCACTGCCAGCAAAGACGATATGAAAAGTGCAAGCAATATATTATATATTATATTTGTATTGTGTTTTCTTTGCCTACCCTGCCGATGATGATTGCAGGCATGTTAGAGGCCTGCATGTAGGTAACCACTGACATGGGAGTGACTGGAGACAGCAGGAGGATGAGCAGGCCAAAATACACAATCAGGAAGAGGAGACCTGGGAGAGAAAAAAAAAAACTGGTGATAATCTGAGGGCCAATATCAGACTAATAGAGGATTTCTTTAAGACTGTATCCAGGTTTGAGTTTTTCTGGGGTTTGGTTCCGTTTAATTAACAGCCTATATGGGATTTCTTGCCTGATACTGATTTTAGAGGGTAAAAATTTACCAATATCCGATTTTTAGAAGCTGGAATGAAAATAGATCTTGAGGAATGTGCACCGATTATGCACCAAAATGACTCACAAGCACTTCAAAGGCTGCTTTCTCACTATTAGGACCAGGCTATTTAAGTTAAATATTCTTTAACATGTTTAACATATACACTGTCAACAAATTCTAGCTGACATTGCTGAGAGCTGCTGCTTCTCTTACTTTGTGCTGCTTGCTACAGTATTGTAAATCACACACAGTGCACTCTGCTGGATAAACTTTGCAGTGACACCAATATATTTCCATCTTTAATAATAAATAAATGAACAAATGAACGAATGAATGAATGAAAAGGGATCAAATGTTGATATCAGTATTGGTCTTAAAAATGAAGTTAATTCGGACCATGAGTGATTGTTTAGAGTGCATGCAGTCTTACCTCTGCTGGTTCTTCCTCCATAGTACTGAATGAGGAAGCCAATGGTGACGGTCTGCAGCATGAGGAACAGAGCCTCACCCCAGGCACTGAGATGACATTTAGCACGTTACTCACTTTGTCACTCAACATATGAAACAAAAAGGTGTGCTTCATCTGAACTGACATAGAATGCAATGATTACAACCGTGAGTGCTCCATGTACATTTCCACTTCAGAGTTGATTTACATATGGCCCAACCTGAAAGGGAACTTGTTGGCAATGCTGTAGGCCATTGTTCCTGTGATGGCTAGCAGCTCCAGCAGAACAGACTTGAAGCTCAGTCCCTCAGCGCTCTTTGCTCCCATCAGCTTTAAGATCTGAGGCAGCTTCACTGTGAACAAGGAGGAAGGAAAGTCAAAGTATACAGTGCGCATATCTAAAAACATTCTGCATTTCTGTAATAAAAAACAACTATCAAAAGCCACCAATTTTTAAGCAGTCCACCCATCCATTTTCTAGTTTTGCTAAAAGTTTGCACTGTAAAATAAATAGAAACACACAGGTTGACTGTTTTACACAACAACACATTTTTAATACTTTGAGAAATACAAATTAGGGCGCAACATGGCAAGTGCAATATTCTAATTTTCTTAATGCTAAAATGTGTGACAAACATTATTAATTCATTATAATGAAGTATACTAGAAATCCTGCTTTCCTTCCTTTACATGTTTGACATGTTTGTTTGGTACGGACACAAATTAAAACTCCCACACTAATTGTGAATCATATCGCACTGGCAATATCTGTGGAAATAATCACAATATGTCTTTTTTTTACCATATCGTGCAGCCCTTGTATAAACATATTTTTCCGATAAAACCTATTTTGAATTTAACAAAAGAAACTAAAGTTCTCAAGTGTTACATTTTATCTAAACAAAGGCAGCTGTACAAGAACTTAAACTAAATAAAATAAGGGTCTAAAACTTACAAATTATGGATTTCAATCAGCACAGCACATAGCATATCAAAGTACAGGAAAGGAAAGGAGAAAGTTGACAGAG